TAGTACTTGCATATTTAAGTATTTTATAGCTGATACCTGTAAGTTCACAAGCTTTTCTATTCAGAAGTTGTGACAAGGTTTAAAGAACTTCATCTTTTGTAATAAGAGAATTAAAAGAATTGTACTATTAGATGTTGATATGTAATTGTGATTAATAATGTGTATGCCAGAAGCTGTCAAACAGTGCTTAGTCAATTAGTAGATATGCAGTTCAGTCATGGAAGTAAGATTGTATATGCTGTTTTATAAGTTTAGAGTTTGTAATAAGTTGGTCAAAAAGTTTGATGTTGAAAAAGTAAATAGAAGCTTTGTATTGATTAAGAATACTATTAATAGCTTGTTTAGAATGTGTTGAAAGTGTTTCACATCTTTTTTCAGTTATTTGTTGGATTTGTTGGTGAAATAGTAATGAGTTTTCTGTATGATGAGTATGATAAAGTTGTTTTCAAATATCTTGTGCATGTTGGATCCATGCATAAGTTTGAGAATTGTCATCTGGATCAAAAGTTTGAAGATTACAGTAGGATCTATCATTAATAGTCTTGATCCTAGAGTTTATCATGTTCATGTTAAAATTATTATAAGTATTTTTAACAATTTTTATTAGATGTCTAAGCTCTTTAAGTGATATGTAGATTAAGGTAGAGTTAGAAGAATATTGATAATTGTAGCTATATTTATGAGTTTTTTTGTTGGAAATAGAATGTATTGTAGTGTTAATTATTGAATGTTCAATCTTGTGCCAAGTAGTTTCAATGCTTTTATTGGTATCACTATTAAGTGGTATATTGTAAAGACTAAGATTATGAGAGAGAAGATTAGAAAATTCTGTTTATTTTTTAGTTAACATAGCTTTGTAATTGAAAATTCTGTGACTAATGCCAGTATGATGATATAGAGGTTTGCTATATGCATTAGTAAAAGTTCAGATAAATATAAGAATAGAGTGGTTACTAAGTGTTGAGATATTGCTATTATCAAGTTTATATGAATGAAAGAATTGAATATTGAATGAATCAATTCAGATATAATCAATGTGGCTGTGGCTAGTATTATTTAACCATATAAAGTGCTTATTATTAATATGTGCACTAAGATCAAACATGTTAAAGTAGTATAAATAATTAATAAGTTTAAATTTAGATGAAAAGCTACAGATATCATTATGTGTATTAAAGTCTTCAAGTATTATTAGATAAAGGTTATGTTGAAGAACTTGTTGGATCTATATAATAACAGTATTTTGTATATTGTTACATTTTTGTATATCAGTAGAAAAAAGATAAACAGCTATAATTCAAAGTTTGATTTCACTTTTAAAAAATAAATCTAAAGCAATTGCTCTACCAGAATATGTTTGGCAGTTATGTATATGTAGTTGTAAGTGTTTTTGAATTATAATAGCAACACCTTCTGCTGAACTTTTTGAATTGACCCAAAAATAGGTAAATAAGTTGTTATTGTAAAATTGAAGATTAGTATTATTAGTGATTTTGGTTTTAGTAATACAAGAGATATAAATATTATTGTGAAGATAATAATTTTGCCAAGCTTCTCTTTTAGTTATTATACAAATATTTAAATGAAGGTCATGTAAAATTTGTGTAGATATGAATACTTGTGATGTAGTATGACTATTAAAAAATAAATCAAATAGAATAAAAGTAGAATTAGAAGAATTTGATCTGAGAAGAAGATTATAAAGGATAGAAAGAAAATAAGGATGAATACCAGTATGATTAGGTAAGAGAAAGTCATTTAGAAGATATATATGAGTTTTATCATATATATTACTAACAGAGAAAGTAATGCTAGAGACAGTATTATCATGATTATGTTTGTTAATATGTTGTATAAGAAATTGAATAGTTTAACTATAAGAAAAAAGTAATAAGTTATAATAAAGAAAGAATTTGATAAAACATGTATGAAGATTATAGGAGCTTAAAGATGTTGAGAATGTCTTCTGAGATTGTTTTCTACAGTGTCGATCACTGTATGCTCAGCTCTTACTGCTATGCAAGGTACTAAAGTCTGCCCTATGTATTGGGTCTGATCATTATTATCTTAGCCTTCCACATAAATAGACTTTACTGCCTGCTTACTTACATTATTTTTTCTATTAACTACTATGGGTGTGTTATTTAATAAGATGGCAGTTGCATCTATAAATTAAATATTTTATTTTAAACTTTCTGATTCTATATTTTTAATATTAATTTTATTAAATTATAATAATATTTATCTTCTTATATTTAGATCTTATTTCAATTTTAAAACTAATTTATTTTTAAAAAAAACTTGTTAGAATTTTCTAAACTTATTTTTTAACTAACATGGTTTTTATTTTTATAAAATTTATATATCTTAGTACTATTTTTTATAACTTTATTAATATCTTATTTGTTCTTACAAGTCTTTTTATATTATTAATTTAATTAGTTTTGTATAATACAACTTTATATTCAAATTAATTAATAACCAGATTGATAATACCTTATTTTATTTTTATTTTTAAATTAAGGTTTTCATAAATAATATTGTCAAAGATATATTATCTTTTTATTTAAAATTTTCAAATAAATTTCTTATCTAAATATATATTTTTTAAATTTATTTATATAATATTGTACATTTTTAAAATTAGTTTTGTATAACCAAGACCTATGGGTTAATAACATAGTAATTAGCACTTTCAGATCACAATTATAAGATTACAAGTTTAAATCTTACTAGATAACAATAAATTTGCTAAAATCATAATTAAAAAATCTTTAAAGGATTTTTCATTAAAAAAAAAAAATAAGATTTATATATAAGAATGCAGTCTATTAATATAATTACAGAGTTAGAAATAATTAGAAAAAGTAAATTTATTAACAAATAACATTAATATTAAAGAAACTTAGCTAAAAGAATTAAAGAATATTAGATATTAGATATAAAGAACAATCTAACTAATAAGTTATATAAAGTTAAAAAATTGCAAAATAAAAAGATAGTAGGTTATATACTATAAAACCAAAAATTTGAGATATTATATAATAGACTTAACAGAACATAAGTTATCTTTATAAGTATAATAATGAATATAGAGGCTATATATTGTCTAATAATCTTTACTGAATAATAACTTTAATTTTTAAAGAGATGTAACAGATCCTAAAAATGTCTAAAGACCTTTAGAATAATGAAGAAAGAAGAATAAAAAAAAATTTTTGTATAATCAATATTATAAAATTACAAATCTTAATTACAATTAAGTTATCAAAATAAAACTAATTTTTTTAAATCTGTTATTAGTAAAATTTAAAATTTAAAAATATAATAACTTAATAAAATAAAAAATTTATTAATTCCCAAATGCTAGATTGTGAGTTTAAAATTTATTAATAATGAAAATTTGAATAATCTCTTATATAATATATAAATAATATTATAGTAATTATATTTTGTTAATTAGTTGAGATCAGATATTTGTAATTATAATTATATTAGCATGATTAGTAGATTATAAAATACTTGTATAATCTTGGTCACATAGAGAAATGCAAACTAGTACTAAGCAGTGCAAATTAAAGATAAGTTTTGTATCTATATAAATCTGTAAAATTAAGAAAAACTAAAACTTACTTAAAAAAATCTAAGTAAAAAAGTAATACAAGTCTTTAATAATACTACTGTTAAAGATAAACTGAGAAAATAGATACCAATATAAAAAAATCAAATAAGCAAAAATCTCTAAATAAAATGTATTACCAACCAGACAGCTTGGTTAAGCCTAAGAAAAAAGATAACAGATCAGACTTGATATATCAAAAACAGGTCACAATTCTTTTGAGCTATCTAAATTAAAAGTTTAAAAACAAAAAAAAAAGTACTAAAGATATACTATGAAATAAATATTAAGATATAAATGAACTTTATAAAAACAAGCTTTTGCTAATGATCTGTAAAATAAATAGGTAATTAACAAAAAGAACTTCTTAAACCTTACTGTCAAATGTTATATTTTGAAATATGTAACAGTCTAAAAACCATTTCAGAAAAAAAAAGTATTATACTGCTCAGACAGTATATATTAAGTATATATAAAAAATATAATAGTAATTAAATAATTAACAGACAAATGATTAGAAGGTTTAAATAGTTAATCTTTTAGTAGATTATAGACATAACATCTAATGTAAAACCTTAAAACAGACTATTTAAATAAACAACCAAAAGTTGCATGTGTAACTAGCTGTACTCTCATCTTTGTAAAATTAGTTATATACTAACCTCCACCATAAAGTATGACCTTTAACAATAAAAAAAAAATAAAAAATTTAAACCCTAAACTCTGAACCTATTACTTGAAAATAACAACCCAACTACTACACTAAAATTACCATCCCTACTTAAACAACCTTTTTGATGTATTAGTTTATTATATGAAATAATTTTTTGAAAACAATTTTAAAAAAATAAAATATTCTCAAATAAAAGTGCCTTATTTTAAATATTAGTGTTAAAAAAAATCGAAAACATGAAAACATTGAGTTTTAAACACTGATTATTATAAAATCAAAATTACAACATATTAGTATAGCATGATTTTTTAAATCTTCCTACAATTCTGATCACCTATACCGTACTTCACCATGTCGAAGTCTAACTATTCGCCATTTATTTAGAAAGAAGTGGTTGCTTATAGTGCAGAAATATATAACACGAAAACACTTGTAAAAACCAGAAAGTTCGGCATGTCGAATTTTTTAATTTTTACTAGTGAAACTCTATTAATGCTATGTAAATATGATGACCTCTTTCCAAGAGTACTCTCGGAATAAGAGTAAAAACAAAGTATGCAGTTAGAGAGAATATGTATTTTATTCAAAGCTGTAAGTATAATTGTATTATCCAATGGTCAGATCACTATTAGCTTTGAAAAGATTGGTCTTTATATATCGATTTTTATTTTTAAATTCAGTCATTTTAGTAATCAAATTTTGAATAGATTATTTTGTGGCAGCTTTTGGTTTTTTAGTTCCATATTTTGAACGAGAAGTTGATCGATTCGGAACTCCTGCAAAATCCAAAGCACCTCTTATGAGATGATATCTAACTCCTGGCAAGTCTTTGACTCGACCACCTCGTACCAGAACATTACTATGTTCACTCTTCATAAAGATTTGATAGATTAAATAAATGAATTTTAATTTTTTTAAAAAAAGTTTTGCGAACAATTATTTTTTACCAAATTATGTCCTTCGCCGGGTATGTAAGCGGTGACAAGTTTACCGGTGGATAATTTAACACGAGCAACTTTGCGTACTGCAGAATTGGGCTTCTTTGGTTTTGTTGTGTAAACTTTACTACAAACTCCTTTTTTTTGATAACATCCTTCTAATGCTGGAGATTTTGAGAGCTTACGTTTCGTCTTACGCATACCACGAATTACTTGGTTGAGAGTAGCATATGATACTGAATTTGGCTGCTTGGTACAATGAGAAGTAAGGGGTGAAATGGAACGAAAGGCTTTTTTGATTAATATACTAAACATCATTACTTTCTTTAGGGTTTCACTTGAAATATCGACACTTAAAATTTTTGATAATCAAGATGTGATTACGTAATGATTTAAAAATTTTTTAGATAAGATCTTATCATTAGATTCCACTGAAAACATTGAACAATGATATCTGCTTTACTCTGGATTCGTAAAGGTGTGGCCGCTGAACAACCTGAAAAATATGAGCTAGATGATAAAGAATACGAACGAATCAGTCAATTAACCGGAATACATTTAGAAAATTCAAAAAGCGAATTAGAAAGGTAAAACTCTATTCAATGGTTTTATTGATAAAAATATAGCAATTACTAAATCTTTTTTTTAAAAAAAGTCATGACGTCAAAATAGAAAGGTGATACTTTATTAAATGTTATTGACAAAAATATAGCATTTACTATAATCTTCCTTTTTTTAAAAAAAAAAAAAAGTCATGATGTCAAAATGAGTGATGTGAATGATGATTCGGAACTATTAGAATACAATTTAGAACAATACGATGAGGAGGATGAGGAAGGACACGTTTGTGCGCTTTTGAATATTAAATCTGCTGCGCATTTACTCTTTTGCAACAAATTAAAGTATCAATCGATTCTTGATTATTAAATTTAAATCAGCCATGTCGATATTCGGAAATATAAAGGGGTTGGCGTATTATACGTCAAATGAAGAAGACCCATATATTACCCTCAATGATGAGGTAAGTCATACAATGATTATATTCTAACAGGGTTGTAATTGTTCATTTTCTTCATGAATCATCTAACATTCCGAATGTATTTAAAAAGGATGATGAAACTGATGATGTTCAAATTTTAGCTACGGATAGTGTTTTAGTAGCAGCAAAGACCGAGGATGAGGTTTCACAATTAGAAATATATGTCTATGAAGAATCTGAGGATAATCTCTATGTGCACAATGACATCATGTTGCCATCTTTTCCTCTTTGTTTGGAATGGTTGGATTTTCGATTAGGTAGAAAAAAAGAGTTGGATGGCAGCGGCAACTATATTGCGATAGGGACGTTCGAGCCTGAAATCGAGATTTGGGACTTGGATGTATCGGATTCAATGTACCCTGATGCAATATTAGGCAAACCAAATAAAGGACTTAAGAGGAGGAAGAAGAAGAAGAAGAAGGTGAAGAATGAAAACTTAATAAATTTATGATCCCAACATTTGTTTCCACTGTGTTAAAAATATTATTATTCGTATTCTAGAAACCTAATTCAGAATACCATACAGATGCGGTCATGGGATTATCATGGAATAAACTTCATAGGTATATACAATTATTTCAATATAATTTTACCTCCTCACTAACTTAAATGAAAATTTTAAGAAACCTGTTAGCTAGCTCTTCGGCCGATTCAACTGTAAAATTATGGGACCTTCAATCATTAACATGTGCACATTCGTTTGATCATCACAAAGACAAAGTATTTATCACTGTCGTCAATTTTCTCCTATAACAAATAATAAAATGTTTTTTCAAATGCTGATAGGTGCAACAAGTGGAATGGCATTCCATTGAGCCTACCATCTTGCTAACCGCATCTTTTGATAAAACTGTGGTTGTATTTGATAGTCGTACACCTAAAAATGTCGCATCTTGGAATTTCGGAGATTCAGATCCAGAATGCGTACGTTGGGATCCATTTACTCCACAGCATTTCTACGTGAGTACAGAATCTGGGTTGGTTTTGTGTTTTGACACAAGAAACTCTGATAAATCAGCACCGGTCTTCACATTGCATGCGCATGATGCTTCTGTGACATCTTTGGATGTAAATCGATCGGTTAGAGGATGTATAGTTACTGGTTCAACAGATAAAATGGTTAAGGTTTGGAATATTAAGGATATGAAACCATCCATTGTCACGAGTCGAGATTTGGGCGTGGTACGTTATATTCGTTATAGAAATTATTGACTTAATTACTTATTATTGCAATTAATTTTTTTTTACATATTTTAAAGGGGAAGGTTTTTACTGCGCAATTTTGTTTAGACTTACCTTTTCATTTGGCAGTTGCTGGTTCAGGAGGGAAAGTGCATATTTGGGATTTATCAACCAATGCAGGTGTAAGAAAATCGTTTAAAGAAACAATTAAACCTTTCGAAAGCAACATAGATATAGTAGATGTACGTTTAAATGAATTTAGTACATATAACTTTTATTCAATAATAATTTAATGCTCTCATATTTGCAGAAAACTGTTTCAATCATGCAAGATGAAGAAAGCGAGGATGATGACGAAGAAGAAGAGATAGATCTGGAAGAAATAGAAAACGATAGCGGAGATGATGTATAGTACGTAATATTTTATACTGACCAAGTTATCAGCTCGATCCCGCTTTATATTCTTTTCAATAAAGGCCAATTAATGGATAGATCGAATGAGTCGACAACACTCATAGCGACGATAAATTAGATAACAAATCAAAGATTTGATCATTTGCGGTTGATGAAATTGGTCGTCAAATTTAAGTAAATGGCCTCTCAATTTACCAAATTTTTATTATTAATCAATCAATATTATTATAAAAACCTTTTTGATCTCAAATTTATGGTATATCGATAACGCTTATAATCCAGTTTTCTCATTTATCACATATAATTTGAAACACGAACTGTGCATAAGTGCATATGTACAAAGTCACGAAAATATATTTTTAGTATCTTATCTATATTATAGTTTTTTGTTAACTATACCAATTTAATTGAAACAAGTTAATATTTAATAGGTACGTATCCGTTAGCTATACTAAATTTAGTACAAAATACTTAATTTAGTACAGTTTTAAAGTTAAATTTGAAATTTTTTTTTCTTTCGGTAGTCCTAAAAATTTAGACTTTAATTTGTTTTAAAAGTTGATTTTTGATGGTTTTAAAGTTACTTAATTTTGATTGGACAAATTTCTTAAAATTTAATTGGTTAAAAATTTTTTTAAAATTTTAATATATAAATTTAAATTTTTAATATTGTTTAAAAATATTTTTTTTTTAAGTTCTTATTTTTGAAAAATGACATTTTTATTCAAGTTTTTGTAAAACATAGGTGCTTTTAGGGGTTTCTTTATATTGAAGATTACAACTAGTTACTTATGCACTTTTAGTACCTAATTTAAGTAATTTGTTTATACATTATTATATAGGTTTTATATTAGATGTTAAATCTGCAAGTTAACTATAAGTCTTGTTTATTTAAACCTTTTGTATATGTAATTCTTTTATATTATAAAAATATTTTTAGAGTATTGTTCATTCAAGTTCCTAATACTAATTAGTATTTTTATAATTATTTTATTTTTAACAGAAGATTTATTAGAGTTTACTATGTTCTATATATGTTAATCTAATTTTATGCAACATGTTATAGTTATCTAATACTTGTGGTTACAAGAGTTACTTATTTAATTGCTATATTATATTATTATTATTATTGTAAGTTCATTAAAACTTCAGTACTTACCTTTCTAACATCTTCTTTATTATTATTTACTAATTACAACTTAAAACTGATAAAATTTTTCAGATTTTTAATTCAGATAATCTGATATGATATATTTTTTTTTTCTTTTAATGATTTTGACAGTTTAATTAGTTGTATTTTTTTATACATTTTTAATATCTGGTTTATTTGTTTATTTTTATAAAAGTGTTTTATAAACTTTAAATTATTTGATAGTATTGTTGAAAATTTATATTACTTTTTTACTTAAAAATTTTTAAATAAGTATTTAATTTTTTAGTTTCTTAGACTTCTATATATAATAATTTTATTATAGGTTTATATCAAAGTCTTATGTAATACTAGTTAGTAATATTTCTTTATATATATATAATATTATACTTTGCATAAATGTTTTGAACTTCTAATAACAGATAAGACCTAACTTAGTATACTTAAATTACAATCACATAAAGTTAACTGATTGATAAAAAACAGTTATCATAATATAAATTAATTTCTAAATTTTATCATAAGTAGGATTTGAATATTAGACTTGTTATTTGAAGAATAATAACTCAATTATTATACTAAAATCATTATTCTTTTTTTTTAAATATTAAAAGTGAAGTTATGTTTTTAACTTTATTGAAATTCAAATAAAATTTTTATAAAAAAAAATATAATATTTATAAAGTTATATATTTTAAAAAATTATTATAATTTTTAAAAAATAAGATTTTTAAGTTGTAATAAATTAATTTAGTTTAAAATAGTGAGTTTTTCTTTAAAATATTTTTTTAAAATCAAAAGTAGTCTTTAAATGTTATGCATTATACTATGTTTTTTTGTTATTACTTTATTATTTATTAATATTTTTAATTAAAATTTAAAATGTTTATATTATTTAATAATAACTACTATATGTCATTAACTAAAATACTTACTACTATTTGATCAATTATCAAATTTCTTAAATAGTACCCTTCTGAATACAATTTATAAAAAAAGAATACTATAATAAAAAGGTACTTTATATAGTTGAATAGTAGTTCAATAAGGATTTAATATAAATATTATATCTAACTAAAATAATATCTAGAAAAATATCAATATTTATTATATAAAAATAATTAAAAATAATCAAGAATCTAAAAGGCTTTACTTAGAAATAAAGACTTATCATTAAAATTTTTTTATTTGTTGCATAATTTTAAATATTTAAATTTTGTACCTTGGTCTTGGTCATGTATAGTAGCCAACAAAAGTAATGCCTGATTTGCAGATCATCACATATGAGCAAATAAAAAGGCTGTACATACCTCATTCTTATAAATTTTAGGACAATTTTTTTTTTATTTTTGCTTCTTTAACATCAAAGGAACCAAGTATATATAAAAAAAATTTTTTTTTTATGAAAATGCTATATAAACAAATAACTAAAAAAGAGAAAAAAATAATCCTTGTTTATATCAAGATAATAAGTGCTGAACAAGTTGCCTATAAGATTAAGTATAACCTAACAACAGTCTAAAGATTTTTACAAAAATATAGAAGGACCAAAAAATCAAGAATTTATCTTGGTCTAGATGTTATTCTATTCTAAAAAAATATAAAAAGACTATCATAATAAAAAAAGCATTGAAAGGAAGACATGTGTTATTGATCAAAATTATAAAAGATTTAAACCTTCAATGCAATGTGCAGACTGTAGCTAAGACCTTACACAACATTGAACTTCACTCTCATGTTGCTGACTTGAGATCTTTTTTATCAACTAACAATATAGAAGGACATATGGAATGATATAATCAAAATAAAAATAAGAATGCTTATTATTAGAGATATATTATTTTTTCAGATGAAATGAGTATAAAAGTAGGTAAACAATTCTACTAAATTCGTGTATAATGTTGTGCAGATAAAAGATACAAACATGAGTGTTTGCAATCAAATTTTAGAAATAGAAGAGTCTTGACAATGATTTGATCATATTTTATAGATAATATCAAAGGTCTTATAGTATTTTTTGATGATTACAAAGGACCCAAGCAAAAAATTAATAAAAACATTTATACCAAGATGTTAAATGACCATCTTATACTGTTTTTAGCTGCAATTTATTTGTTAAATGTTCCCTATCTGATTTTTTAATATAACAATACTCCAATACATAAGGTGTCAGACTGACTAAATTTGAAAAACATTGATTATATGAATTGGCCCTTATGATCTCCTGACCTTAACCCTATAGAAAATATTTGGAAGATCATGAAAGACAATATTCAGAACTATGATGACTTCCTGAGGAATAAATTTGACCTTAAAACAGCCTTACAAGAAGCATGGTCAAATTTGAATACATCAGTTCTTCGTGTAGTTGCAGACTCAATAACATAAAGAATCAATGCTATCACAAGTGTAAGAGATCATTCAGTGAAGTATTAAATAGATATAAAACAAAAATTTGATGTATTTGTGACCAAAATTAAATAAATAAAAATTTTATTTTTTGATCAAAAATCGAGCATTACTTTTGTTGACTACTGTACATAAACATTATTGATCAATTTATTATACCAAATCTTCTATACATATCTAATATAAAAGAGAATTCATATTAATTAAATTCACTTCAACAAACAGAAATGTTTCTGAAAAACTAGTTTGATATAAGAAGGTGATTATACAATCTGCCTCTTAGTCATCTTTGTATGGGTGTATCTTCATTCGATTTAATAAAAGTATAAAAAGTATAATGAATTCGCTTTATCTCTGAGGCATGCCCAAGCATGACAAGAGGGATGGGTATACCTCCTCAGCACAAGGCATACGTACCTTTTCCATTAATGAAAATGACTATAATGGCAATTACAGTAAAACCTCTATAAGTACATGCTATTGGGACCAAACTTTAACGACATGCACTTAGAAAAAAAATGCATTTATGAAGGTCATGTATATACACTGGCGATCATAAATAGTGCAACAAAAAAAAATTTTTACTTAAATCGCATTATTTCCTGCAATTCTGGGTGTATCCTTTTATTTTTTTTTTTATTTTACTCACTAATAGTACCTTTTTCTAATTTTAGAATCTTAGTAGGCATCATTAATACAGATGCAAAAATAATCACGCGTGTATCACGAAACACGTGTTGCATTACTTTTGCTTGTTTTTAACAAAGACCAGATCACGCGATTTGTGCAACATAAATAAATATAAAAATGTCAATCCCATTGTTGATTTTGCATCTTGTACGATGCTAGAATTGATTGCTAATCAAGAAAAAAAAAAGAAAAGCAGAACAACTCCCGCCAAACGAGCCCAAGTATTGCTCTCGCTCCAGAAAGGGTACATGACAAGGGCAGTAGGTTGGGCCCATAATATTTCTTTTTCCACGGTCTTGCGAATTAAAAAAAGGTGATCAACAAACCGCTCGCTTGAAGATTTAGCAAGAGTTGGTCGCCCAACTTCGTTGGATGAACCAACCCAAAGAAGGATAGTGAACCTCATTACCTCCTATAAGTGCTCCACCGTTATTAAAGTGAGGGCTTACCTCGCAAAAAATGCAAATATGGATATTTCGGTGTCTACAATTCGCCACATACTTCGTAGCCACGGGTTAGTATCAGGCGTAAAAAAAAAAAACTGTACCTAAGTGACAGTCATCGAAAAGAACGGCTCGCTTTTGCAAAGAAATACGAAAATTGGACCATTGAGGATTGGTCCAAGGTAAT